CAGGGCAGGCCCTGGGAAGACTTGGGCTTGGACCGACAATTATGGCAGGAACACGTGATCATGGGTCAGTGCGTATTCTGTGGTGACCCGGCCCACGTTATCAAATTTTGTGCAAAGTATAGACAGGCCCGTTGGGCTGCCCAGCAGTCAAAAGGCAGCCGCCAGTAGGGGTCGCAACTGCCCCTACTTCAAGGCCATGTGGAGAAGTGAGCGCACGCGAACAGGACACTCCCAACCCACATGAGCCTATGGTAGAGGTTGCAGGCCCGTGCCTAGATAGCTGTCCAGAGACCGCCTGTGTAAGCGTCTCTTTAGGCACGTCCCTCACAGGTGTGGCAGAAGAATTAAAGGAGAGGATGCCAGCCTGGGCCAAAATGAAGAAGGAGAGTAAAGGACAATTGATTTTGGTAGATGTAGAGGTGTTTAGGAGTAGGGTGGGGGCCCTTATAGACTCAGGGGCTACCCGTAGTTATATCAGCCGTAGGGCGCTGAAGAAGCTGAGGCTAGGACTAAAGGTCCAGAAGTTAATAGACCCTATAGTCAGTGTTCTCACAGACAACCGCACAATGCGCGTTGAGGATTATGTAGAGGGAGTCCAGGCGTACTTTCACCTAGAGAAGGATGGGAAGGTGGAGAAAGTTCTCCATTCCCTGACTCTCCTCGTACAAGATGACCTTCCTTTCGATGTAGTGTTACGAATGGATTGGGGAGAGGCAGCAGGGGCCACACTCCATTTGAGAGAGCATGAGTGTAGGCTCCCTAGTCCGTCAGGCGAAGTGAAGACTGCTCGCCTGTTCCATGCGTCCGGTGTAGATAACACCTTGGCGCATTGCTGTCTCAGTGCTCCCGCGTTCGCGCGATTAGTAAGAAAGGAGCAGTTAGAGGAATAGGTCTTTGTGGTGTATGTTAGACCTGTCACTGAGGGCCAGAAGAAGGATAGCTCCACAGACCCAACAATTGCCAAGCTGCTGGAGGAGTTCAAAGATTTGATTGAGTCGCCGACAGGAGTAGTGCCGCGACCCATCCAGCATAGGATAGAGATAGCCTGGCAGTAGAACACCTAAGGGTGCAGTCTACAGGATGTCCCCTAGAGAGTTAGAGGAGCTTCGCAAGCAGTTAGATGAACTCTTTGAGAAAGGGTGGATCAGGCCCAGTTCGTCTCCTTTTGGAGCACCCGTTTTGTTTGTCCCCAAGAAGGAAGGAGAGCTGAGACTGTGTATAGACTATAGGGGATTAAATGCGATCACCGTGAAGAATGTTGAGCCGCTGCCCAGGATAGACGATCTTCTAGATCGGGTGCATGGTTGTAAGTATTTCTCTAAGATAGACTTAAAGTCCGGATACCATCAGATAGAGGTTCATCCTGATGATCAGTACAAGACTGCGTTCCGGACTAGATATGGGCATTATGAGTTTATAGTGATGCCCTTTGGACTAACCAACSCGCCAGCTACTTTTCAGCGTTGTATGAATGACCTRTTTAGACCATGGTTAGATAAATTGTAGTAGTCTACTTAGATGATATCCTAGTCTTTAGTAAGACCCTCCAGGAGCACCAGGGTCATCTGAGGCAGGTCTTGGAGAAGCTTAGAGAGGCTAACTTCAAGATCAATGCGAAGAAGTGCGAGTTGGCCAAGATGCAAGTCGTCACCACGAACGCGAGTCAGTATGGGATAGGCGCCGTGTTGCAGCAAGACGACGGCAATGGCTATAGACCCGTAGAGTTCATGTCCGCGAGGATGCCCTGTGAGAAGGTCGCTACCTCCACGTACGAGAGGGAACTCTACGCTCTCAGGCAGGCTTTAGACCATTGGAAGCACTATCTGCTTGGGAGGCACTGCAAAGTGTATTCGGACCACGAAACGCTTAGATGG